ACTAATAAAATTGCTTCGGATTCTGTAAAAAATTGCTTCGAATTATGGGAACACTATAAAAATTGCTTCGGATTCTGTAAAAAATTGCTTCGGATTATGGGGACAGATATAAAATTGCTTCGGATTGTGGGGACACTTTCAACAATTGCTTTGAATTCTCGGGGCAGTTGTAAATTAACTTCGGATTTCGGGGACACTTTCAACAATTGCTTGGAATTCTCGGAAACGTTGTAAATTAGCTTCGGATTTTGGGGACACATTTAAAATGTCTGGTGATATTAAGACACTTATAAAAATTCGGATTATGGGGACAGATATAAAATTGCTTCGGATTGTGGGGACACTTTCAACAATTGCTTTGAATTCTCGGGGCAGTTGTAAATTAACTTCGGATTTCGGGGACACATTTAAAAAGTCTGGGGATACTTAGAAAAATTGTTTCGGATTCTGGGGACACTAATACAATTACATCGGATTTAGGGAAAATAATCAATTATTTCGGATTATGAGGGCACTAATAAAATTGCTTGTCATTTCAAGAAAAATTGCTTTGGATTCTTGGAACACTAATAAAATTGCTTCCGATTCTGTAAAAAATTGCTTTGGATTATGGGGACACATATCAAATTGCTTCGGATTCTGGGGACACTTTCAACAATTGCTTGGAATTCTCGGAAACGTTGTAAATTAGCTTCGGATTTTGGGGACACATTTAAAATGTCTGGTGATATTAAGACACTTATAAAAATTGTTTCGGATCCTGGAGACACTTGTAAAATTGCTTCGAATTCTGCGGACACTAATAAAATTGCTTTGGATTCTGTATAAAATGGCTTCGGATTATGGGAAGATACATAAAATTGCTTCGGATCGAGGCGACACACAGAAAATGTCTTTGGATTCCAGGGACACTAACAAAATTGCATCGGAATCTGTATAAAACTGCTTCCGATTCTCGGGACCCTTATAAAAATGTATGGGATTATGGGGACACTAATATAATTGCTTCGGATTCTGTAAAGAATTGCTTCGGATTCTAGGGACACTTAAAAATTGCTTCGGATTTCATGGACGCTGTTAAAATGTTTTCAGATTCTGGGCACACTAATAAAACTGTATAAATTGCTTCTAATTCTGTTGACACTTGTAAATATGAATCGGATTTCGGGGACATATTCAAAACGTCGTCGGATTCTGGAACACGTATAAAATTGCTTCTGGATAAAATTACTTTGGATTCTGGGAACACTTATAAAATTGGTTCGAAATTTGTGGAAACTTTTAAAATAGTTTCGGATTCTGGGGACACTTGTACAAGTGCATTTCACAAGTCATTGTGAAATAGAAGCAAAATCTCAACACTTTCATTTTGATCTATACTTTAAATGTCGCCATTCAACCAGTGTTGGGATTACTGAAATACTTTCCTGCTCAGTCTCTGTTAATCAAGACAACAGTTAAAGAGTTGGAAAAACGCTAGTAGATGTGGAGAAATGTTGGACTTAAATTTCTTTCTACCGAAGATACATTATGTTCGAAACATGCATATATTATAACCGAAGCTATCGAAGTTGCCGATGAAAAACACACAACAAGGCCTATAAAATTACTAACAAGGCCTATAGTATGATCCTATATAAACTGCACTAGCAGCTCATTCTACTAACAAATTCTTCAAATCTCCTGTGCAAATTATAAAATTACTTCGGATTCTGAAGATTTTTGGTCCAGCCTTAAAATGAATTTCACAAGTCATTGTGAAATAGTTGCAGAATCTCAACACTTTCACCTATATCTATACTTTAAATGTCGCCAATCTACCAGTGTTGGGATTACTGAATTATTTTCATGCTCAGCCTCTGTTAATCAAGACTGCTGTCGCTGTTCCCGTGCAGAAGTAGACGATGTGGAGCCGATGGACATTGATTACAACGGCGTGGAGCCGATGGACATTGAATACAACGGCGTGGAGCCGATGGACATTGATTACAGCCAGACACCGGATAATCACAATCACAATACCAACCGTTCACTCTCTCGAAAACGGTGCGTTAGCTTGATCGACAATCTCGCTGTACCGACGAAGAAGAGAAAAATCTAAGAGCTAACGTGTGCACAAGTTGCGCTGGTGGACATTTGCTTGCTTCGGTAATTTTTTTTTTCCTTTAACGCTGGTGCTGGTTTCTTCATTGAATTTTTTCAAGTACTTGTATTATATTAAGGCAATACACAATTTGTGCTAAGAATTGGTTTTGTTCATTATCTGTTTTTGTGTTTAGTAAGAATAATATTACTTAAACAGCTGCACCTTGATATGGTAAAGCAAGAACATGCAGCTAGTGGATAAACGTTTTGGAAAACTTTTCTAAAAAAAATCTGTCGATATACTCAGCAAATGGAACATTCAACGAGTGGATATTTTTTTGGAAACATTTTCTAAAACAATCTGCCGATATACTCAGCAGATGGAGCGTTCTAATGTGGTAGTTTACACAGCCAAGATTCAACAATACTGTACGATGCTGTAGAATAAATAAAATATATAATAAAGATGAATAAATATAAATAAAATATAATATATAATAAAAAATATATATTGTCTTCCTTGTTACTTTCTCGTATATACGAAGTTTAGAGAAAGTATTGTAATCGTGCACAAAAATCACTTGAAATTTTAACAATTTTCACCGCATTACACCTCAGTCCTTCATCACATCCGAAGTATAGAGGACTTATTTTAATCGGGCAAAAATTATCAATCCAGATTTATCAAAATTAAGAGGTTTTATGCGTAATCCAGTCTGAAAAACTGGGCTTTGCAATTCTGTCCGTATGTCTGTGTGTCTGTCTGTCTGTCTGTCTGTCCGTGTGTAAACACGATAACTTGAGTACCGTTACAGCTAGGTTGATGAAATTTGATATATAAGTATTTTATCAAAATCGTAGATCCGTATCAACTTTTGAGCGATTTCTGATAACTGGAAGTCGTACTTTTTCTACTTTGAATTTTTCAAAAGCCTATAACTTGAGTACTATTTCAGATAGATAAATGAAATTTCACATGTACGTAAAAGATCTAATTCTCTACCTTCTGTCAAATTTTGAGTAATTTCCATTGACCGGAAGTAGTAATTTACGCTACTTCCGATTTCTCAAAAAACTAATGTAAATTTTTAAAGTACTAATAATATTGCGCACTATTATGCACTTTTGTTTGGCGTTCATTTGGTGTGCAATTTTTTTGTCTTCGAGAGTTTATTCTATTTTTAAAACGTTAAGTATTTAAAATGGATTAAAAATCATGTCTATATCCCGAGTTCCGATCCCCTGTTGTTTTAAATAAGAATTTCGAGAAAGTTTAGGGGAGATCACTCCCGGTTTATGTTGTTAGTTGTAGAACGTGTAGACTCTACTGTACATTTAATACAGTTTGGTGCTCAGTGTATTACATAGGCTGGTTGCAATTGATAAGGGAGGCTGATATCATGTGCTTAGCTTTACTTGGAACCCCTGAGGCTGAACCACGAACCCCTAGAGCTCGATGGAATCCAGGCTTTGAACCACTGATATAAAACCTACGATTAACTTTCTACAATGAAAACATAAAATCAAGTTTTTAAAATTGTAATCTGTCCCATTCCGTATTTGTAAATCGCCAACTTTCAGCGCCGTACAATAAAATAGATGTTACATTTTACATTATCAATATTTTAACTTGCTATCGTTTATTTCAAATCCCTCCTGTCTAGCTTACAAGTTTTCTTTATTTCTTTATCCTTTGTTTTCGACTATGGGTAGTTATGGTAAAGTCCTGTAAAGTCAAACTTTTCCACACACACATATATATATATATATATATATATATATATATATATATATATATATATATATATATATATATATATATATATATAGGTGGGTCCGCTAAACAATGTATTCATCCCCTATAGAGGGCTGTCTACAGACTCGCGTGTGACTCATCAGAAAAAAATCGACAAGGAATGTACATCTGTCACCTGGCTGATATAATGTATACCTCAACATAAACACGTCAGCAACTGTACTTACGCTACCATAAAATCAATAATGAGAATTTTATAACTGTTGTGGAGAAAGTAATTGCAGGCTAATTAAAACTCACATTAATAGCGGTGAGACAAATTACGAGGCACAAACAATATGTCTTGGACATTTAATAATTGTTATCTAGGAGAGATTGGTCAAACATACTATGTATATGTACTGTCCAGATGTACTGAGTCTGTCATGGATATATTGGTCTAGCCTACTGTCCAGATGTACCGACGCCGAGACCGACGCGGAGACCGACGCCGAGACCGACGCCGAGACCGACGCCGAGACCGAAGCCGACGCCGACACAACGCCAACACCTACGCCGAGACCGAAGCTAAGACCGACGCCGAGACCGAAGCCGACACCGACACCTAAAACTCACGATTTCGGAACACGCTAGTAGATGTGGAAAACTGTTGCACTTCAATTTCTTTCTACCGAAGATATGTGGTTCGAAACACGAATACGGTATATCCGAAGCTATCGAAGATGCCTATGAAAAAACACAAAACTAGGCCTATAAATTTACTAACCAAGGCCTATAGAATGATCCTATATAAACTGCACTAGCCGCGCATTCTACTAGCAAATTCTTCAAATCTCTTGTGCAAATTATAAAATACTTCGGATTCTGAGGTTTGACGGAAATTCAATAAGAGGGTACGATTTCTTTGACGATAAAATTACGAAATTGTCTATCTGAAATGGCTCTATTTGCTGTTTAGTGTGTACGTAAGCTGAACAAAACATGAACCGCTATCTTTGTTCAGATGTCCATGATCTCAGCACCATCAACATCATCTCGGAAAACACGAGCAGATGTTTGGGAAATATTGAAAGATGAACCGTTGGAAAGTTTTCTTCCATTTACATGAACATCGATAGTGGGGTCGACGTCAACATGCTTTCTTTTATCACTGAGCAACATGTTTCTGACGCCCCGAGTCACTGCAGCAACTGCCGTGTCACAGCTGCCCGAAGTTGTTGAAGGTTTAGCGGCGTTGTTGAAGGTTTAGCGGCGTTGTTCAATCATGAGACAGCAACACGGACTGGGAGCCTGTTTGACCTGTGCTTGAGGTTATATAGGCTCTGGTTTGGTCACGTGACAGTAAGTCTAGCGAGCTTTTGATTGGTTAGGTCGATTAAAGGTTTTGTGCTGTGCGTGGGGAAATGGTTGCTCTGTTGGCAATACTGAACGTAGCGGGCTGTGTGCACGTTCACCCGTGACTTGTATTTAATCCGAGATCGAGACCAAATCCGACAAATTCGACGCCGACACCCAATCCGACGAAGACACCCAATCTGACGCCGAGACCAAATCCGACGCCGCGACCCAATCCGACGCCGACACCCAATCCGACGAAGACACCCAATCCGACGCCGACACCCAATCCGACGAAGACACCCAATCCGACGAAGACACCCAATCCGACGCCGACACCCAATCCGACGAAGACACCCAATCCGACGAAGACACCCAATCCGACGCCGACACCCAATCCGACGAAGACACCCAATCCGACGAAGACACCCAATCCGACGCCGACACCCAATCCGACGAAGACACCCAATCCGACGAAGACACCCAATCCGACGCCGACACCCAATCCGACGAAGACACCCAATCCGACGAAGACACCCAATCCGACGCCGACACCCGATTCGACGAAGACACCCAATCCGACGAAGACACCCAATCCGACGCCGACACCCAATCCGACGAAGACACCCAATCCGACGAAGACACCCAATCCGACGAAGACACCCAATCCGACGAAGACACCCAATCCGACGCCGACACCCAATCCGACGAAGACACCCAATCCGACGAAGACACCCAATCCGACGAAGACACCCAATCCGACGCCGACACCCAATCCGACGAAGACACCCAATCCGACGCCGACACCAAATCCGACGAAGACACCCAATCCGACGCCGAGACTGAATCCGAGGCAGAGACTGAATCCGAGGCTTTCTTTTATCACTAAGCAACACGTTCCCGACGCCCCACGTGACTGTAGCAACTGCCGTGTCACAGCTGTCCGAAGTATTGATAATCGCATCATTTCTATTCCACACGTCTATTTTAACAAGAAATATCAGCTTGTTGTGAAATAGTAGTGAAATCTCACCACTTTCACGAGTTCAGATCACGATAAACTTTCTTACTCTACCGAAGATAAAAGATATGTTCGAAACACGAATATGTTAGATCCGAAGCTAAGTAAGATGCCGAGGGAAAAACACAAAACAAGGCCTATAAAATTACTAAAATCCGCTCAAATAAATTGGCACTATCAAAATAATTTTTCAATTTTCATGTGCTAATTATAAAATTTCTTCGGATTCTGAAAATTCTTCGGTCCAGCATTAAAAATGAATTTTACAAGTCATTGTGAAAGAGTAGTAAAATCTCACCTCTTTCACGAGTTCAGATCACGGTAAACTGTCAGACTTAAACTTTCTTACTCTACCGAAGGTACAAGATATGTTCGAAACACGAATATGTTCGATCCGAAGCTATAGAAGATGCCGAGGGAAAAACACAAAACAAGGCCTATAAAATTAATAATGCCTATAAAATGCGATCATATAAACTGGCACTAGCATTCTACTAATTAATTTTTCAATGTTTTGTGCAAATTATAAAATTTCTTCGGATTCTGAAAATTCTTCGGTCCAGCATTAAAAATGAATTTTACAAGTCATTGTGAAAGAGTAGTGAAATCTCGCCAGTTTCACGAGTTCAGATCACGGTAAATTGTCAGACTTAAACTTTCTTACTCTACCGAAGGTACAAGATATTTTCGAAACACGAATATGTTCGATCCGAAGCTAAGTAAGATGCCGAGGGAAAAACACAAAACAAAGCCTATAAAATTACTAACCAAGGTCTATAAAATGCGCTCATATAAACTGGCACTATCAAAAATGCTTTTTCAATTTTCATGTGCTAATTAAAAAAATTTCTTCCGATTCTGAAAATTCTTCGGTCCAGCATTAAAAATGAATTTTACAAGTCATTCTGAAAGAGTAGTGAAATCTCACAACTTTCACGAGTTCGGATCACGGTAAACAGTCGGACAAAACTTGCTTACTCTACCTAAGATAAAAGATATGTTCGAAACACGAATATGTTAGATCCGAAGCTATGGAAGATGCCGAGGGAAAAACACAAATCAAGGCCTATAAAATTACTAACCAAGGTCTATAAAATGCGCTCATATAAACTGGGACTATCAAAATAATTTTCAAATTTGATGTGCAAATTATGAAATTTCTTCGGATTCTGAAAATTCTTCGGTCTAGCATTAAAAATGATTTTTACAAGTCATTGTGAGAATAGTTAAATCTCAACACTTTCACTAGTTCGGATCACGGTAAATTGTCGGACTTAAACTTTCTTACTCTACCGAAGGTACAAGATATTTTCGAAACACGGATATGTTCGAACCGAAGCTATGGAAGATGCCGAGGGAAAAACACAAAAAAAGGCCTATAAAATTAATAATGCCTATAAAATGCGATCATATAAACTGGCACTAGCATTCTACTAACTAATTTTTCAATGTTATTTGCAAATTATAAAATTTCTTCGGATTCTGAAAATTCTTCGGTCCAGCATTAGAAATGAATTTTACGAGTCATTCTGAAAGAGTAGTAAAATCTCACAACTTTCACGAGTTCGGATCACGGTAAACTGTCGGACAAAACTTTCTTCCTCTACCTTAAATTAAAGATATGTTCGAAACACGAATAGTTCGACCCGAAGCTATGGAAGATGCCGAGGGAAAAACACAAAACAAGGCCTATAAAATTACTAACTAAGGTCTATAAAATGCGCTCATATAAACTGGCACTATCAAAATAATTTTCAAATTTGATGTGCAAATTATGAAATTTCTTCGGATTCTGAAAATGCTTCGGTCTAGCATTAAAAATGAATTTTACAAATCATTGTGAGAGAATAGTGAAATCTCAACACTTTCACTAGTTCGGATCACGGTAAATTGTCGGACAAAACTTTCTTCCTCTATTGAAGATAAAAGATATGTTCGAAACACGAATATGTTCGACCCGAAGCTATGGAAGATGCCGAGGGAAAAACACAAAACAAGGCCTATAAAATTACTAACCAAGGTCTATAAAATGGGCTCAAATAAATTGGCACTATCAAAATAATTTTTCAATTTTCATGTGCTAATTATAAAATTTCTTCGGATTCTGAAAATTCTTCGGTCCAGCATTAAAAATGAATTATACAAGTCATTGTGAAAGAGTAGTGAAATCTCACCTCTTTCACGAGTTCAGATCACGGTAAACTGTCGGACTTCAACTTTCTTACTCTACCGAAGGTACAAGATATGTTCGGAACACGAATATTTTCGATCCGATGCTATGGAAGATGCAGAGGGGAAAACACAAAACAAGGCCTATAAAATTAATAATGCCTATAAAATGCGATCATATAAACTGGCACTAGCATTCTACTAATTAATTTTTCAATGTTATGTGCAAATTATAAAATTTCTTCGGATTCTGAAAATTCTTCGGTCCAGCATTAAAAATGAATTTTACAAGTCATTGTGAAAGAGTAGTGAAATCTCGCCAGTTTCACGAGTTCAGATCACGGTAAATTGTCAGACTTAAACTTTCTTACTCTACCGAAGGTACAAGATATGTTCGAAACACGAATATGTTCGATCCGAAGCTATGGAAGATGTCGAGGGAAAAACACAAAACAAAGCCTATAAAATTACTAACCAAGGTCTATAAAATGCGCTCATATAAACTGGCACTATCAAAAATGCTTTTTCAATTTTCATGTGCTAATTATAAAATTTCTTCAGATTCTGAAAATTCTTCGGTCCAGCATTAAAAATGAATTTTACAAGTCATTGTGAAAGAGTAGTAAAATCTCACAACTTTCACGAGTTCGGATCACGGTAAACAGTCGGACAAAACTTTCTTCCTCTACCTTAGATAAAAGATATGTTCGAAACACGAATATGTTCGACCCGAAGCTATGGAAGATGCCGAGGGAAAAACACAAAACAAGGCCTATAAAATTACTAACCAAGGTCTATAAAATGCGCTCATATAAACTGGCACTATCAAAATAATTTTCAAATTTGATGTGCAAATTATGACATTTTTTCGGATTCTGAAAATTCTTCGGTCTAGCATTAAAAATGAATTTTACAAGTCATTGTGAGAGAATAGTGAAATCTCAACACTTTCACTAGTTCGGATCACGGCAAATTGTCGGACTTAAACTTTCTTACTCTACCGAAGGTACAAGATATTTTCGAAACACGAATATGTTCGAACCGAAGCTATGGAAGATGCCGAGGGAAAAACACAAAACAAGGCCTATAAAATTAATAATGCCTATAAAATGCGATCATATAATCTGGCACTAGCATTCTACTATCTAATTTTTCAATGTTATTTGCAAATTATAAAATTTCTTCAGATTCTGAAAATTCTTCGGTCCAGCATTAAAAATGAATTTTACAAGTCATTGTGAAAGAGTAGTGAAATCTCACAACTTTCACGAGTTCGGATCACGGTAAACAGTCGGACAAAACTTGCTTACTCTACCTAAGATAAAAGATATGTTCGAAACACGAATATGTTCGACCCGAAGCTATGGAAGATGCCGAGGGAAAAACACAAAACAAGGCCTATAAAATTACTAACCAAGGTCTATAAAATGCGCTCAAATAAATTGGCACTATCACAATAATTTTTCAATTTTGATGTGCAAATTATAAAATTTCTTCGGATTCTGAAAATTCTTCGGTCCAGTATTAAAAATGAATTTTACAAGTCATTGTGAAGGAGTAGTGAAATCTCACCTCTTTCACGAGTTCGGATCACGGTAAACTGTCGGACAAAAGTTTTTCCTCTACCGAAGGTACAAGATATGTTCGAAACACGAATACTTTCGATCCGAAGCTATGGAAGATGCCGAGGGAAAAACACAAAACAAGGCCTTTAAAATTAATAATGCCTATAAAATGCGATCATATAAATAAGAACTAGCATTCTACTAATTAATTTTTCAATGTTATGTGCAAATTATAAAATTTCTTCGGATTCTGAAAATTCTTCGGTCCAGCATTAAAAATGAATTTTCAAGTCATTGTGAAAGAGTAGTGAAATCTCACCACTTTCACGAGTTCAGATCACGGTAAATTGTCGGACTTAAATTTTCTTACTCTATCGAAAATACAAGATATTTTCGAAACACGAATATGTTCGATCCGAAGCTAAGTAAGATGCCGAGGGAAAAACACAAAACAAGGCCTATAAAATTACTAACCAAGGTCTATAAAATGCGCTCATATAAACTGGCACTATCAAAATAATTTTCAATTTTGATGTGCAAATTATGAAATTTCTTCGGATTCTGAAAATTCTTCGGTCTAGCATTAAAAATGAATTTTACAAGTCATTGTGAGAGAATAGTGAAATCTCACCACTTTCACGAGTTCAGATCACGGAAAATTGTCAGACATAAACTTTCTTCCTCTACCGAAGGTACAAGATATGTTCAAAACACGAATATGTTCGATCCGAAGCAATGGAAGATGCCGATGGAAAACACATAACAAGGCCTATAAAATTACTAACCAAGGTCTATAAAATGCGCTCATATAAACTGGAACTATAAAAATAATTATTCAATGTTCATGTTCTTATTATAAACTTTCTTCGGATTCTGAAAATTCTTCGGTCCAGCATTAAAAAAAAATTTACAAGTCATTGTGAGAGAATAATAAAATCTTACCACTTTCACGAGTTCAGATCACGTTAAACTGTCGGACTTAATCTTTCTTACTCTACCGAAGTACAAGATATGTTCGAAACACGAATATGTTCGATCCGAAGCTATGGATGATGCCAAGGGAAAAACACAAAACAAGGCCTATTAAATTACTAATCAAAGCCTATAAAATGCGCTCATATAAACTGGCACTAG